GACAGATAGGCTGATGACCACTCGATAATCAAGTTGTCAGATGACATTCTTCGTATAGATTAGGTTAATCTATGTCTTGTATTATTGTCGACAGAGGAATGCAAGTTTAAAATTCCAGGAGTTCTTGTCTTTACTAGCACTTTTCTATCACTTATCTCTACTGATTTTTTTTTAATATTTCCTGTCTATGTCTGTCGCTCTCTCTATCAGATTTCGTAACATGTTCTAATGTCCTCCCAGCTTCTTCCTCAATGTCCTGTTTCCATTGAGTATGGTCACATCCCTTGAGAATCCAGCCACATGTTCCATCTATCTACACAGATACATCTCACTGACGCCAGGGCTAAGTAGGCACAGAAATAAAATGAAATTGATTGTCCGAGTAACAAAAGCTATTTACATCGAAAAAGTTTAGCGTGTGCTCGCGTTAACAAAACTACAAGACACGTGAGCCAATGAAAAACAAAAAACATGCGATTACAGACTGATTTCAGTTTGCTTAAACGTATGTTTGTTAGGACTGGAATATGTTATCCTTACTGGCAATTAAAGCTTACCCCAAAGTCTCATTATTTCACACTTAATAAATACAGTCTAAATACGTGAATTGTATAAACCTTCTAGCTGTAACAGAACAGTTAGGACTATCTTTTCCCTGCCCTTCTCCGTGGCTCAGGCGGTAAGTCTGAATTCTTATAACGCTAAAATTCGGGGTTTTCGATACCGTCGTAGGCAGAGCACAGACAGTCCATTGCGTGGCTTTGTGCTTACCAGGAAACAAAGGAAAATCAAAAGAAACAAACAAAGGAAAATGAAAAACAGCAAACAAAGAAACAGGTATTGTCTCTAGGGGAAACTGGATACATAAAAATTACACTCAGCGTAGAAAGACGACACGGAGAACAAACTCATATTTCAGGTCTTAGGCCTAATTAAGTTTTGTTTTGCTCAGGCTAAACGAATATGTACATAATAAGAAAGGGAATTATATGTGCTTAAATACCTGCATAAATTAAAAGTCTTTTTGCGAAACATTACGAACATGTTAGGGTTAGCATGACCGTTTCCACAAAGGAAAGTTTCTGAAGAAACTCATCTTCGTGCTTCTGGAAACAATAGACACTGTTCTACATCTGTTATGAGAGTGGACACTTTCAAATTCTTCGTGCTTCTGGGAAACAATGGACACTGTTCTACATCTGTTATGAGAGTGGACACTTTCAAATTCTTCGTGCTTCTGGAAACAATAGATACTGTTCTACATCTGTTATGAGAGTGGACACTTTCAAATTCTTCGTGCTTCTGGAAACAATAGATACGTGTCCATTGTTTCCAGAAGCACGAAGAGTTTGAAAGTGTCCATTGTCTCCCAGAAGCACGAAGAGTTTGAAAGTGTCCACTCTCA